TGTTTCCTTGGTTTTTTAACATGTTTCTCTTCTGGTGTTGTGTTTTTTTTTGTTTTGTTTTGTTTTCTTTTTTTTTTGTTTTTAAGCATTCTGCATGATATACTCAATCCTCGGGAATTAATTCCACACTTCAGGATATACAAACACCAGTTAACAATGACCAGGCAGCCAATAAAAAAGGTGTACATATTGTTATGTAGAAAATCTAAATCAGGCTGGAGACAGCTAAAGCGGAGATGGCCAGAGCAGCATAAAAAGAACCCATCACTTCTGAACTCTGAGCAGAGTTCAGTCTCTCTCTCAGGAGATGCTATCTTGGTCTACAAGACCCACTGATCTACCTGGTGTTTGTAAAATACAGATAAGCCATGATTAAAGTTCTCTTCTTTTCCCTCCTCCCGTGTGGTTTTTTATTTTTAGTGTTTTGGGTTTTTTGAGTTTTTTGCTTGTTTGTTTGTTTTAAAACTGAAATCCACTGGTTCAGCATTATTACTAAACACCATTTCAACTTTTCCATTCCAGGAAAATTCCAACAGAATGACCAAGTGATGCCAGGTATCAATTATTTGGAAGCTTTACAGTGAGAGAGGGAGGAATTTCCCCTCACTTCTAACCAGAGAAAACCTTCAATTATTTTGGAAGGAGAAGCAGAAAAGTGGGCAAAGGGTGAAGACAGGTTGTTGAGACAAAATTAAGTGAATGTGTCGCACATGCAGACTACAAAGCAATATCAGGTGCAGGTTAATGAAACATTCAGAAAGAGGAGTTAATGGCAGAGACACTTAACATAATTTCAACCATTTTTCTTACAGCACATTGTGAGAGTATCAATGATAATTCTGAGGAAACTTCCAAGTTCATGATGTTCCACATCCTTGTACCCGGATGTCCAGAACCTCTACTTCAGTGACCAGCCATTCTCTTTAATTGTTCACTGGATAGCCCAAAGGTTTAAAACTGACAGACTGAATCCAGGAGGCAAGCAAGGGTATTACAAATATCCCTCTCCAACTTCTTCCATGGCTTAGTTCTATAAAAATTAAATTTTATAGACTTAACTTTAAGCCTGCTAATAAGTCATCATTCTACTATGTTTTCAAAATTTGGACCAAGCAAGATATAATAACATAAATCAAAGTAAGTACATTTACTGAAGAATAAATTCTCAATTTAAGAATGGAAACCTGACTAAAAAAATCTAAATAGTAAACAGAATTATAAATATTTCCATCATTCTATTCTCTGGGAATCTGGCATCAAAAATAAAAAAACCAAACCCCAGCACTCACAAAAGACCCCAGATTTTGGCTAGCATTTCTGTAAGCACATGAAGAATCACATAAATGTCCCTGTTCTTGCACTAAGGCAAGGCTAAGAACCCTTGGGCAGTCTTTATGAAAGATAACAAGGAGTACAGCAGTGTATTTTCTTTGACAAGATTAAGACCACAGAAACTGGAAGAATACATCTAATAGTCTTTACCATAAAAAGCACCTAACAACAAACCCCCAAATTCTTTCTTTACAATTCTTAGCAAAAACTACCTAAGATTAATAAAATGGGCTTTCAATCTAATGGTAAAAAAAAAAGAAAAGACACTTCAGCCAGAGTTGCAGAAAGTAAGACATCATTTCATATGTTTATCGATTTTCTCTTCTTGGAGTTAAATATAATAATAATACAGAATACTGAAACTGGTTTTGGTCTTCATGCATCCTCATGACTGAGAATTGCTTTTTAAAGCAAAAATGTGCCTGAAAATGGTGAGAAGAATGAAGCTGCCCAAAGCAGCAGCCATACCATGCTGAGTGACCCACAGAAATAACTCTTTTCTTTCTAGAGGTGTCTGAACAACACAGTTTAAATCAAACACTGATCGAGGGAGTGAAAAATCTTCATCCATATCACAACCAATATGCCAGAGGCACATTGCCTACATTCATTTCACGAGACAAAGGCTTTCTTCTCCTGCAAATATCTCTTTTACCAGAAGGAGCACATGGAAGCCTTTAATACTTGAAGGTGCTACAGTAGAACATAAGAAAGATAGAGAAGAGTATGAAGCCTATCCTGAACAGATGGGCTCTACAAAAGCCTTCTTCTAAGTCCTATCATCTCACCACACATTTTCCGAGTGTGCCATCATTCTACAACTGCTTGCAAACTTCTTCTGCTAGAGGTGAATGAGGGGAAAAAACGCTGGTTCACAGAAGCTTGGATTCTCCTGTTTCCTACCCTTGGTTTGCTGATACACCAGGTTGTTTTTTTTTTCCATTTTCTGCACAGCCAGACTAGTCTGAACTAAAACCATAAGAAGACTGATCCTAAAGCCACTCTCTGAGCTGAAGCAAGTACAGAGGTGTAACACTCCTGAGAAGAATAACCTCCTTCAAAGAACTATCACAGTCACGTTGGCAAAAAAGGGGGAAGTGAATTACTGCTAACAGCAGCCCTCACTGGAGCTGGTTAAGAAGCCTCTCTTCCCATTACCAAAATGGAATTCAGTAAATAGAACCTCCTCCTTGCATTTCCACCCCAGATAATTTTATAAATGGATACCAAACTAACTCAACAAATATTTGGGGCTGGTTGGATGGGTTTTTTTCCTCTCTCTTACTTGGGTGAGATGAGGAGTGGAAAAGAAGGGAAGAAAACACAGGTTTCTTGCACACCACCTTTAAAATTATGCAAATACCTCAAGAGAACTTAATCACCAAACCTCCTTTGATTTCAGCAAATAAAAAGAACAGAGCCTATCATAAACTACATGCACAAGAAATAAAATAATAAATTTTAATTCTTTTATTTTGGGGTCCCCAAGTAGTACAGAAAACTGCTAAGTTATCAGCTACCAAAATATTCTTTGAAATATAAAATAAACTCACACTGGTAGAGGCATTTTTAAATGTTAGATGAAATTAAATTATATTCAGCATTAATATGCAAATTAAATCTTATTTGTAGCAAACCCTAAGGATTATGAAAGTGGACAACATTAAACCCCTGTATATGCCACAATTTCAATATACAATGGTTTAGTAATAGCTGAAGATAAAAGCAGCATATGACTTCCCAGCAGTAGATATCAAAGAGTAGGATCTCCTTTTTCAGTCACTATTAAACTAGCAGAGAAACCACTTCCTGTTATGGTAGTCTGACCCAGAGAAAAATCCCAGTAACTATCATATCTTCAGACACAGCATATGTGCTAAAAAAATCCTCTCAGATAAAATGTAAAAGAAGCTATGCATTCAGCATTTAGAAAGTCACCCTAATGCAGTTGATATATAGGCTTATCACATGGTTTCCTTTACTACAAAGGCTTAATTCTGGAAGACAAATGCCTCAAGAGGCAATCTAGTCTACCAGTTTTTACAATAATGAAGTCACTTTAGGCTGCATAGTGGTGGTCATTTTTTCATTCATATTAAATGTAAAACACAAATGAGCACAACAAGGTACTAGTAATTTCAGCTAGTAATATAATATGCTAGTTATTAGCAAAAAGATATTTTTTTATTCATCATTTTTATCAGTAGAGTGTAACTTTTAAAATATTACCATTTCCTTCATACTGCAGCAAATATTCTGAAATTAGATTAAATTCTATTTCCAAGCAAGTATTCAAAAATAACAAAAATAAGTTTTCATCTGTGACCTTTTAATGACACACTTGAAGTATAAGGTTTAAATGCATGACAAGACAAGCTTATAATAGAAACACTGTCATGTCCTGGCAGAGCTCCCAGCTACAGCAAGTTGCATAAACCAGTCATGGAACAAAGGAGCAGCAGGTTTCTAGCTGCCACCCTGGCAATCTGAATCCAACTGACACGACCCACAAGAGATTGATACCCACTTTCTATACACTACATAACAGACAGAGATTAGGATCCTAACTACAGAAAGTGTGACTTTATTTACCATTTATGTCCCGTTTTCAGCTCTGAAGCCATTCAGAGCACTGGAGGTTCTTTGCAGTGCCTCTCACATTCAAACCACTGCAAACCAGCTCAAACTTTCATTGCAATGGGTTTTCTTGAACCATGAAGGGATTAAACAACTGAGCCCTTCCAAAAAGACATGCTTATTTCTACAAATTTAAGTGGGCAAAAATAAACTGATGAGCAACTGATTTTTGTGGAGCATGAGTTTCAAATAGCAAGACTAATATCCTGATATTCATAACTTTGACTGGTTTGAGACATTCCACTTTGCCCTCTGCTCAAGCTCTTATTTACTGCACTGAGGGGGTCTGTTGTTTTGTTCAACTTGCTAGGCCTGTGTGCTCAGGTTTATTTGAACAAATAAATTTTAAAAAATAAACTTTCTAACACCAAGTATGTAAGAAGTATCTATGCAATGCTCAGTTGTGAAACTGAAGATGGTAGTGCTTTAACTGCTAGAAGGTACAAGATAGAAGGTGCAGAATGAGCAGAAAGACTCCCAGATTACAAGGAACAGAAGCCTAAAACTAGTGTTTCAATGTCAAAGAAGAAAACTCCACATCATGTAGGATTTATGAAGGACAAAGAAAAAGAACAGACTTGTGGATAACTCAGAACAGAAGAAAGACAGTACAAAAATATGCTAAACAAATAGTCACCTAAGTAGTACAAAGGCCTGCTGGAAGCCACTCTAAAATGAACCTGACTTAACACGTTAACAATGTTTTCACTCTTGAAGCATCTCGACCCCTGCATCTGATAAATTTATTAACAACAACCATCTTTCAACAGGTGATACAGCAGCATCCATGTCCTAACTTCAAAGTCATCCTGTAATTAAAAGCTTTTCACTTACACTGCTGTACTAAGAAAAACAACACAATTTGCTACAATGAGTTGCACACAATCCTACAACTCACACTACCCACAATTATTTCCATTTAAGTTCTCCAATTAGGAGAAAACAGAAATACTATTTTGACATTAAACAAAACCCAAATATGAATAGGACAACTGAATATTATAGCTTATTCCACCTGTGTTTGTACTTGCCTAGCAATACTTTAGCATCTTCCACATCAAAATCTCCATCTCCATCAGCATCGTATATCCCAAGCTTGCCTGGCAATGAAGAGAGGAAGAAGTGAGAATTAGGGATTCAGCAGTTTGTTTCCAGCACAGTGTTTTCAATGGGATGGTTGACTGTCAATGCTAGGTGGTTACCATATTTCTCTGAAATGATTTAGCTGTACTCTTCTTAACCACATTTTAATTTTCCTGGAAAATATTACAAATATTTTCAGTTCCTTTCTGCATTTCCTAGACTTTCAACTAAACACAAATTAGTCTTTTTTCCACGCATATATTTTGGTGCTGGCAGACTTAAAGCAAACCTGTAATAGTTATGCACTTTATGGAGACATGTCTTACTCTGAATAAAACTTAAGTTCACCAGGAATGTTCCACATGTTTGAGGGGAAACAAATAACAAAACAAGGATTTATCAAATAACCACCTTTTTTTAGATTAGATGCTTCTTGCCGTTCTAAACACTCAGAAACAAAAGAGGTATATAATATTTCCTAGACTTTCAACTAAACACAAATTAGTCTTTTTTCCACGCATATATTTTGGTGCTCACAGACTTAAAGCAAATCTGTAATAGTTATGAACTTTATGGAGACATGTCTTACTCTGAATAAAACTTAAGTTCACCAGGAATGTTCCACATGTTTGAGGGGAAACAAATAATAAAACAAGGATTTATCAAATAATCACCTTTTTTTTTAGATTAGATGCTTCTTGCCATTCTAAACACTCAGAAACAAAAGACGTATATAATTTTTAGTGCCAAGTTAACAGAAGGTAAGTCATCTACTTCCTTGACAACAGAAAAACATTCACAGTTCTTATGAATAACTGTCTAACATTCACTGCAGACAAAAAGTTGTCAATCCTTTTATAGCTGATGAATACATCAGACCTCTCACCTTTATTTTTGAAACTGCAGCTCTACCAGACCTAAATATATGCAAGAAAAGAACCCAAGTTTCTAATCAAAAAGAATTTTTAGCATAGAGTCATGGTACCTGGGATTAAAAGTATCCTGGGATCACTAAGTGAGTTGAGAGCTACCTCATTAATTTTGATAAGCTTCAGACATAACCTCTAATAAGACTGAACCTCTGCACACATTTTGCAGAAGAACTCTAAGTCCTTATAGTTTGCCAGTTTATTATTATACTGCTCATTCTCTAAATGGAGGAAGAACTTGATTGCTGTTAAAAGAAATGAAATTAGCTCTCAATATGGTACTTAGAAAATTAGAAAACAGTTTTGTGAAACAAAATGTTAAGGCTTGGGTCTAGAACAGACAAAAATAAGGCCATCAGCATTGTATGAAAGCAATCAATTAGAAAGGATCTTTATTAGTTAAACACAAAACTGATGGAATAAACAATTTTCTAGAAAAAAGAATTGTATCATCTTCAAAGCCATGAAAAATGAGACAGATGAGAAATGACTGAGTTTCATGTCATTGTAGAAGAATAGCAATTCTCTACAAAATTAAAAACATAAAAGTAGTAAAAGAAATTTTTTAGCCATAGGTCTGTAAAGAAAGCTTATGTCTCTAGTATCCTACCTTGTAGGACCTCTGACAAGTTATAACGGAAATCCTTTGCTTTGGCTGCATGCATGGTAAAAATACAGAAACAATTAATTGCATCACTAGACCCAACCAAGTTTCAAACCAGAAACTTCTCTTAAAATCAATCCAGATCAAAAACAGCATCTACCAACAAATTTGGAAAGCTTGTTAAACCAGCAGTTGCGAAAGGACATGTTGAATTCTATATAATCAGGGACAGTGGCTCTAACTATGGACATACAACTTGAAAATGGAGACATTAATTTTCACCCTGAGATATTATATTAACAATATTATTTTAATGTTATCATATTGAGATAAAATTATCAACACTAAGCTTGTAAGCTTAAAACTGAGGTCACTCAAGATTTCTTTTGTGAGAAGATGACCAATCAGTTGTCCTGACTCAACAGAGACACAGTCCAGAGTGGTAACAACAACTGCCCGCTTTCAACCCTTGCTGCAAGCTTCCCAGAGCTTAAGCTGAGACAATGCATCTTTAGTTGACATTTTAAATGAACTACAGTATACAGGTTACAAAATAAGCCACATCTCGCCTCAGAGATATCTTCAATTCTTTAATAAATGCAGTATTTTAATAACCTTTCTCAGTCTCATGAGAATCCCATTTTAACTATCATAACACAGCTCAGCATTACAATGTACTTTCTGAGCTACATTGCCTGTTCTTATCATTGTAGGTCACTTGCAAACACCACACTAGACAAACCAGCCAGTCAGAAACTTAGAATAGCCTCCATTTAATGCATGCCAAATATTAGAAGCATCTTAAGATTTAAAATTCTTACCTAGAACTTCTTCATAGTCTACAAGTTCAAACCAGACAACTGCTACTGATGTCCAAACTCCCAGCAAAGCAATTACCATGAACCAGGTGAAAAATGAGCTTCCAGAGAGGCCTTCTTTCTTTCCATTCCTGTTTTTTTTCCTGCTTCCTCCATGCTTAGTGTCTGTTAAAATAAACAAGCGGAAAACAAAGATTTGCATAAGTTTGAAAATTATGATGGAGAATACAATTATAAACCTGTTCTTTTTTTTTTATCACTACACAGAATACAGGACATTTGAGAAACTTGTTTTGCTGTTTGTTGGTTGGTTTGGGGTTTTTTTGCTTTCAGGTTTTTGTTTTCATTTTTGTTTGGTTTTTTATGGTTTTGTTTTGTTTGGGCTTTTTTTCATGACGTTTTATTTTAAACTTCACCACTGTCACTGGCTTTCCCTATCATTTTGAATTACGGTGGGAAATTTGATGATTATCTATGTAAAAGCTCCACAAACCAAGCAAATATCAAACATCCACATGTAATTTGTCTTCACAACTTGGTTGGAAATCCCCCCTTCCTCCCCTTCAGCATATATTTATACAGAGCTTAACATTTTTGAGATGCTTTGCATTTGTGCCAGCAGTTCTCCAAATGCCACCAGAGGGCAATAGGACCAGTTTGGAGGAAAAACATTCCTTCTGAAGGGAGTTTCAATGCTCATTGAATTAGCTGATGGAATCAATGTGAGAATTCCAAGAGCCTAAGAAGGCTCTAAAATCTAAACCATACTAAGAGTAAGACATACTAAGGTTCAGGCACTTTACCAACTAAAAATATCTTCCCTGTTAGAATCAGAGATTCACTACGTGCTGAAATCCTTTAGATGTCTAGTCCCATGGAACAGACAAGTAAAAGGATGACACAGAGACTTAATGTAAATCACAGCTTCATTTATAACAGCACATATGGACAGTAAATGTATATTAAAAAAATACAGTGCTTATAAACAAACTGCTGGGAAAAGAAAGACCTCAGGCTAGCATAGGGGTTGGGAGTTTCAAACAGGCATCGCTACTAGAGAAGACAAATTGCTTGGTCCATTGCTTCAGGATCATCTGCTACGTGTAGTGAATAAAAGCACATCCAAAAAGATGCCTGTGGCCTTGCTCCAAAGCTCAAGGTCTTCTCTTCCACCTCCTAATACTACCATTGTAGGGCTGGCCCCTGGCTACAGTCCCGTGTCTGCCAGCCTTCATTCCTTTGTAGGCATCAGCCTTTGCCCGTCCAGCCACATCCAGTCGCTGTTACTGAAGTAAAACTATTTCTTACGTTTTGAAATACGCGAGGAACTTCACCATGAATACTGAGGTAATATAATAAGGTAGGGAATTAACTTCATCATACTAATTACAAGGAACGTTTGATGTATTTATCAGTACCTATTTATAAATAAGACAAAAAATACTCCCAACAGCTAAATACCAATGTAGTTGTGGTTTAGAATAAAAGGGAATAGCACTAAAAGATAAATCCTGGCTTAAAGGCTGACTTAATTCTGTAACAGATGTTACATAGAAATATTTTCAGTCCCTACTTGCCATTATGTTCACAGCGGTAATAAACTAATTTTATTAGATTTATTGTGCTATATCTTGACCTCAGACCAATAAAATAACCCAAACAACTGACTCAAATCAGCTCTTACTCAGCTCAGCATTTTATTGAAGAAAAAAAAATCCTTTCATTAAGATTGCTCCATACAAAGATCAAATACCAACTATTTAGTGTCTTTTTATCTATTAAAGTTGCCTTGGTATAGGCTGTCTAACAATATTCAGGGAGAAACCAAGACAACTTAGCCTCCATCGGGCAGGTATCACCCGCTGCTGCACAGCACCCTCATTACATATGTGCAAGCTCTGTAACACATTGTAACATCTCTCCTAGGGGAAAGATGTACAGGTAGCCCAAAAACAGAGGTAAAGACAAGCAGCACATGGCAGTGCATTCAGAAACAGGATCAACTGTATATGACAATTATTTAAAGTACTTGAGCTGGAAATGTGAATAGCCAGGAATACAAAAAATGTATATTATGAAACAGCAGAACTTTGCAACTCATGTCCCAACGCAGTCAATGGAAGCTTTGTACATATTTAAAATTAAACCTTAAGGCTAAAAACATTTTAAATTATTTCAGATTACAACCTTGTTGTAGAACAAACTAGTTATTAGAAGAGTCAAAAGGGAAAGAAAATGTTCCTGCATAACACGTTACTCATTTACCTTACTGATTTCCACTGTTTACTGCTAATTGCCTCTGAAGAAAGGAGCTTTACTTATGAGACAAGTAGAAAAATTAAAGCCAAGCTTATTTAATTAATCAAGCATAGCTCTTTGTATTTTTTCCAGTCTAAGAGACTGTTTCATGCAAAACCCTCAAAAAAAAACAGATTCTGCTCCACAATTATCATTCACATCAGCCACAAAGACATGTTTTTATGCTGTGGCTTCCTACCTTATAGGAAAACATTCAAAACTGTTGGCAAAATTCTGCTAAGAATTCAACTACAGCAGCCTGATCAGGAAACATTTTAATATAAATGGAAGCCATGTAATGTTAAATTTCCCTAGTCTGTGCAGAGAACCCTGCCCATAGGGCCAGAACAAAACACTGCAAGGGCTCAGGCTGGTTCAGAGCTCACTCCAACAGTTAATTCTCAATTCAAGCCCTTTCCCTGCACATGCTGCCAGCCATGTCAGAAGTAGGTCACTTGCCATATCTGGTAAGCCTGGGCTTACACCACACCAGATGTCTTTATGCAGACATCAGAAAGTCTTAAATTACGCTCTGTTCCTCAACGGCAAATCTTTAAAGGTTCTATATCTCGCTTAAGAGTCATGCCTACATAAAAATGAATTCAAACCTTTCTCCTTTTACATTAGAAGGCATCTGGTAATTTCACAAACTCCAACAATAACCTTAAACTCAGGCATCTGAAGACAAAACAATGTCTCTTATGTGAATGTGTGCTCCACTCAAGCAAAACTGAAGTTACAATCAACCACCCTGCCATGAACAGATGAAATACCTCTACTGCAGTGAGCATTCAGTCACAGAGAAGAGAGGCAGCCTGTAACTCAGACCAGAACAGCAAACGGAACAGAAACAACTACGCCACAGCAAACCACTCATCTTGCCCATGACAAAATCAGACGTGGCCAGCATTTGCCACCCTGCACCTGTTCACCAAAAGGTTAGGATTATACCTGTGTCGTCAGCCATAACATCAGTGCCCGGTGGCCACCAAGCGTGTCGGTATCTCCAGAAGTTAACACTGAAGGCAGAGTAAGCAACGATTTATCCTCCTGCAGTCCTGCCACGGCAGCAAACAAGTTTCCTAAAGCCAGCTCAGCTGGAACCCGAAACTGGACCCGAGAGAAACCTCTCCTCCAAGTCTATTTTTAGAGCAGTTATCCCCAGGAGCCAAACACTTTTCAGAACTCATATGGCAATCTAGTTCTGACGACAATCAAATTCACTTACTCCTCCTCCCTGAGCATCCTGGGTAGCTGATCCTTTCTCCCCCCCTTAATCCCCCACCATCAAACGCAGCAGCGAATGAAACCGAGCAGGGTTGTAATTTTGCTGCAATTTATGCCTCAGTGCCTGAGCTCTGAGGACATTAAATCCAGCAGCGTAAACTGGAACACAAGTCTGGACACACAGCCTGCCTGCTTGCATTTGTTCACTTGGCCCTCACCCAGGGAAGTTTCTCCATGCTGGCACTCCTCTGCCAGCCTTCCTGAAGCAGCACATCACATGCCACAAAGCTAAACCAGGTAAAATTTCTGTTGTTCTGTTTGTTCCAAGTAGCAGAGATGTTGATTGTGCTTTGCTGCCCAACTTTTCCAGAAAGCACTAACACTACCCCATCTCACTCACCCCTCCTTTAAATCTTGATGATCTGCATACTACCTGTTCAATTTAAAGCTAACACAAATCATTAATGATCAACACATTCTCTTCTTCTTAATGACCAGAAAAGGAGGAAAAAAAACATGATTACACTACTCGACTTACATACACGTTCAATTTGATCAAACTATTCTTTCCCCACTGCATTTCAAACTAATGCCAGCTCCTTCTTGATGGTAGGAATCATAGAACCATTAAGGTTAGAAAAGACCTCAAAGATCATCAAGTCCAACTGCCAACCCAACACTACCATGAGCACTAAACCGTGTCCCCAAGTTCCACATCTACAGGTCTTTTTAACAGCTCTAGGGATAGTGACTCCACCACCTCCCTGGGCGGTGTCACCACTCTTTCAGGAAATAAATTCTTCCTAATATCCAACCTAAACCTCCCCTGGCACAACTCTGGCCCATTTCCTCTCATCCTATTGCTAGCTACTTGGGAGAAGAGACCTACCCCCACCCCACTCCAGCCTCCTTTCAGGGAGTTGTGGAGAACAAGGTCTCCCCTCAGCCTTCTCTCCTCCGGACTAAACAACCCCAGTTCCCCCAGCCACTCCTCATAAAACAAAGAAAAAAACTCATTTATCATTAACAGCAGCCCTAATAAAAACCTCAAGATCTAGCACTCCACCCTTCTTTCCCCCACACTCCTTTATAGAACAGCTGTCAGATAGAGGGAGTGAGCAGCAGAACCTTACAGCTGCTTTAAAAACCAACATCTGCCTCCTGTGGTTCTAACATCCAGCAACTCATTACCGAATGCAATTCTCAACAGCTCAAGGATAAAAAAGCAAGAAATAACACCCAGATTTGAGACTTTTCAAATGGACAGAAAGAAACTACAGCCAGTTGATTCTTTACCTAGTGTACCTTTAACTATCTTTAAAGCCCCCTGAAAACATCAATCAGAACAGAGTTTTTAGATGGACCTCCTAACTCATTTCAGCAACTTATGTGATGCACAAGCAGTACAGAGCAAGAAACGAGGAAAATTTAAACAAAGGGTAAAAAGTCAAATATATGGAGAAATCAACAGCTTAGTATGGGAAATAATTTTATATGCAATGACATGTAGTCTACTGTATATAAAACCCAGAGTGTTTTGACAGGCATGAGGTGAGCCAACTTGTTGCAACTTCACTTCAGCTGCACCTCCATATGCAGACACCTGATCTTACTACAAGTGGATTCAGAGATTATGCAACTGATGTTGAGAACCTGGAGTCTGTACTGTGAGTATTATGGGGGCATTGCTCCAGCGCTTACCTGGCTAAATGCCCACAAGTGGTTGCAGCACACCTTCCTGCTTCACTTGACTCCAACCTAAGCAAGTATATTCAGGGACAATAGCACATCACATAAAAGCAAAGGTAATGGAAACAGTCCAGGAATTAATTTCAAATATACACTCCCAATCTGAACTAACACATATATGCTGACCTTTAACCAAGTACCTATAGCCTTATCTTTTACCCTGTAAAAATCAACAGATTGCAAGAACATGTCTTCCCAAGAAATGTCAAACAGCTTCTTTCCTGAAAGGGAAGCCTAGAGCTAAATGGGGAAGATCTTCACACACAAAAGGAAAATGGACCAAAGGCCACAAAACTGATTACCTACCCTGTGATTTACATACATTAATGCATACCTTGAAAAATACAGATTACCTGTGTACCTCTCCAAATGCTGTAGTTCAAAAAACACCGAACCATATCATTTGGGCTAGTTTTGTGAAAGACAAAGGTTAAATGGAATAGATATGTGTTTAAAATACAAACCAAGATTGGGATAGCTGAGCCAACAGTGCAGACTTCTTGTGAGGTCTCATTCTACCATGGTCAAATGCTGTGATTGTCTGTTATTTCTTTTTTGAGCCAACTCAAACAGCTTCACTAACAAATTACTCTCCATCTTAAATCTTAAAACTGTTCTCAGGTTAGTTTTGCTACAACTATGTGCTCCATGATATTTTAGTTAAGTATATGTTCCTAAAATGAACTACCAAGACTGGCAGCATTAATTCCACCTGAAGATCACTACTGAAGTGCAAGCAAAGAAGCTTAGAAGGAAAAAAAAGTAAACTATGAATGCAAAAGTCAAGGCAGGCTTCAAAGCACCAAGCTAAGCTTTTGTAATATGTATAATTATTCCCCACAAAGGTTCATTAGGAAGTCATATGGAAGAAATTATGGATTATGACATAAAAAGAAAGGTGCACACCAGCACGCACTGACTAGAAAGCAGAAAAACATGGCAGAAAGAAAACCAACAAAAGGCTAACCTTAGAGAAATATCTAAAAATTGCATTTCAGAAGTAAAAACTAGCAGTCAGCTAGCACATAGGGAGACTTTAGAACCAGCTCAGTTTAAAAGCAAAATGAAGAGTGATAAAAAACAGATGAGAAATAAACCCCTAAAATGTTAAATTAACTGTCATACCACTAATACAGCTGAAGTAGTAGCAGCACAAAGGCAGGAAACAACCTCTGCTGTATGAGCAGGGCCTACTACCACTTGATATTTTTGCCAAATTATCTTTTCCAATACAATTAATGATAAAACAACTGTTTCAAGCCATTCTTGGTAATAGAACTGCAGCTAATTATTTTAAACAGTTTTTACAGAAAAAAATTTTGGGTCAGGTCAGTAACAAGTATTTAGAGTAAAGGGAAGCTTACAGCATTCTTTGTTGATACTATTTCCTCCCTGCCTATTCAAATAGGAGCTTTTTTTTTTTTTAACTTATACTGCGAGACCATTCATAAATGTTTATATACATATACACAGTTTTTGTGATATGTATTTTAAAATTTACTCAAACATGTGTATTGAACTGCTCCATTCTGAGAAGTCCACACACCAATGACTGCAAGTCCTGTCCTGAGGTAAAACAGGTCTTCATCTAATTTCCATTCAGTGTACCAAGGGTGGAATAATACACTTTTAATGGACAAGTCTGTGCTTTTTACAAACTCTATTTCATTTTCTAGGTGAGTTACTATTTTCTTTACAGATGGAATGGATATTTTTACCGAAAATACAGTATTAAGTATAAAATATTCCAACGTTAAATTGCCACATAAATTGTCACAAACATCCATACTCAGAAAGTTTTGCGTGTTTCACAATCAATCATGACAGCAGGGTCTTTAGGGATAAGATCTAAAGTGTAATGTTTACCTTAAAAAAGCTCAACATAAATACTTTGTGACAGAAAAAACATTTTTCCTTTGGGTATCTAAGAAAGCTTCTTCAGCACTGCAACTTTCATGGAAATGAGGGGAAAAAATTGGCTTTTTTATTATTACTCCTATTAAAAACTAGATCTCTGCTGTGCACTTTATATAGTGTAGTTTGCATGCTTATAAAGATATCTGTGCAAATCATCAAAGAACTTTACTCAACTAAATCAGAAACTTAGTTAGGAACAGGGAAATGGATGGAACAGAAAGAACTGTAAATTCAAAGAAAACAAAACCTAGAACTAAGAGCTCAAATAATAAATTGGCCAAGTGAAAGGCAATTCTGGTTTTCCTGCTGCCATTTCACAGATTTTTACTGTTTGAAGAACTTTTCCTTATTCCACATATAATCAATCCTCACATGAACCTTTAAGGTCTTTAATTTTCAATCCCTACAAGATTTCTCATAGCAAAGTATTGTACTATAGAAAGAAACAAAGAACATAAATACTGAAAACAACATCATAAATTCAGGACTGGATAATTAAACAGGAAGACTACAGAGAAGCTGAGGTGTGAAATAAAGAGGTGCATCACCAAATAGCTACAAAAGCTCTTGGGTCATA